GACGCCGACGGGAGGCTGTCCTCGACCATGATTGGCTCCATCTGTCGCTGAGTATGTTGCAATAGACTGCGACCGAGCACGTGGGGATCCCAACCACAATTCTCACGATCGCTGCCGGCTCCCGCATCATCACGTTGACGTTTGCGGCTGGTATCCTCGCCATCCAGGGGGCCTGAAGCTGGAACTGCTGACGAGCCTGAAGCTGGATCTGCTGGTGGGCCTGAAGCTGGAACTGCCGGTGGGCCTGAAGCTGGAACTGATGGGCCTGAAGCTGGAACTGCTGGAACTTCTGGGCCTGAAGCTGCAACTTGCACCCGTGGGCCTGACGCTGAGATTGCTGCTTCTGCTGGCGTCGGGTCCCCGCGGCGAAGCACAACATCGACTGGGAGCATCATAGTGAACACTGCATTGTCCAATTGCTCAGGCAACGTGGGCTCGAACAACTCGAGTGATAGTTTGGGTCCAGGTCTGGATGCCGACATCGGAATCAACACGAATGGTTTCTGGTACCATGCAGATATGGAAATGTGCCATGCAACGCTTGAGCCAAAAACGGCCACGGAAATTCTTGCCGTGCATCGGCGATTCCACTCGCAGTGTAGCCTCGAGAGATTGTATCGTCACGATGTTTTTGTTGTCTAACCTGGAGTGTTCTATCACGGCCGCACGCCGCGCCCCACAAAAAGTGGATCACGTGCTGACGCTGGCGCCCGTTCCCTCCCCGTCACAAGCACACGTCATCATGGTCCCTCGTGTTTGCTTTAACCCATCGGCACCAGCTGCTTGTGTTGCGGCACCCCGTGCCGCCCCAAAAAAAAATATAATGCACCGACTAGATTGATCAGTCCCTGCCACGTGCAATCCCATCGTCGCATGGGCCTTCCCTGGCCCACAGTCGAGGTGGGAAGGCGATTGATCAGTTGCTCGATCCCTCCCCCCATCCTCGCACATGAATCTCCTCTCTCATCCTTCTTACCCCCCCCCCCCTCCTCCAATCACCAGAATGGCAGGCTGGCCAGAGCAGGCCGCCAGTCACACTGCAGCGTGCGCACAGCTCTGATCCACGTGCGGAAGTAAACGCAGCTTGAAGAAAATCGTGTTTTCCCACTTGAGCCTGTGGCACGAGTGGGCTATACCAGCTATGACCGAGTTCAGGGACTCGTCGAGGAAACAGCTAAAAAAACGCGGGTTCCCGAACCATCGTACGCCTATTGTTAGGTGTACGAACATGTGGTGTTTGGGCAGAAATGGTATCTCCGCCGCTTCTGCTAGTTTGAGGTGCCGAATGCAGAGGTCTAAAAGCCTCTGGCACGTGGCATGGGGCACCACCCTAGGACTGCCCTTGAGCTCGGCCATGTATTCTGCTAAGCACACGCCAGCATCCTTCAAAATATCACCGCGTTGGAGGACGCCTTCTTTACGCCTACGCAGATCGATTGCCCAAGCGAGGAGAGTACCAGTCTCATGCGCTTTCAATTTGAGTTCTCTGCTGTGGTCGCTGCCGATCATGTTCTTAGTGAGGTTCACTCTGTCTGAGTGGTCGATGTTCGCTGACTCGTACCATCTTTTCATATCAAGAAGGATGTGGTCTACGCCCTGGTTTATAACTGCGCTGCGAGGGCCGTCAACTCTCCAAATGTTTGCGTCCAGGGACCCCCATATCACAGACAACACGTACGAGGCCAGCACGCCAATATACACCGTGTGTAGCATATCTATCCTCATGTTTTGTGGAGTGACGCCTGTTGCACGGCAGAAAATTGGGTTGCGTCTGTGAACTCGATCGTCTATCCTGTTGCCTTCAAAATGCTTCCTCCAAAAAGTAACCACGCACGGCAGACGCATACCCTCGAAATCAGCAACATTCGGCATTCCAGGGCCAGGCTCAAGCCTGTCCCATCGTTTCAGCTGCACCCCTTTTACAAACACATCATGTTCTAGAACCCGACCTCGTGATTTGTTACGGTCGAAGTGTAAGCCTCCATCGCGCATAATGCAGTGCCTAACAGCTTCGGGATCCACATTCACCTCAATTTCACATCTTGTGCAAGAGTCCTCGTATACAGTGCTCGCAAGGTCACCCCAACCGTGTCCAAGAAGCGACACGTTGTCGAAGTTGTACCCGCACACCCCAGCACCTTGGGAACACCACAGCGCGACGAGGCGAACGGACCAGCGTGCCCACCCCCACACCCCCAGTTGAAATTGGCGGGTGGGCTCGAGGATGGCATCTGCGGGGGATCTGGGGGTCAAGAAGGGGGGGAGGGGGGGGGGGGCTTGGTGGAAACAACATGTGGCGGAGGCGTGAGCGAGACGAGCCCTGAGGTCGATCTGGTTTGGCTTGCGTGAGCGGGGTTCGGCGGGCTACTGCGTTAGCATTACACTAGCGTGGGTTTCGTTGCTGCACAAAATACGCACGGAAATTTATGGCTGCTCCACGTGGGCAATCCAAATGTTGTGGTATGCTCAGCCCAGTCACCAGTTATATCAACAAGTATAAACCGAGCTGGTAGTAACGGCTCCGTCTCATACAATGTTTTGAGGGGGTCGCCATCGGACATGTTCGATTTGTCCCAATTTCTTTGTGGACGAACTCCTCGAGCGAGACTCTCTAAACACCACGCGATGAATGCGAATACTGTGTACAAGCTGCACCACCCCCTGCACCCGCAGTCGCAGACCTCCCCCTTTGATATCGTGCCCAAGAAGTGTCTCTTAGAACTAGCTAGGTTGTGAATCGAAAAGTTGTACAACGATTCCCATTTAATACCAACGGCTTTCGAATATCGGACCCCATCGACGTACAAGGCCAAAGGATAACACGGACGAAGATCACCCTCCACATGGCGCAGTGGGTGTTCTTCGAAGCTAAGGGTCCAGCAGCTGTCGACGTCTGCCACGCTCAGATCCGTGTGTTCAGCCTCCAGCGCCAAACTCTCATGCAGAGCGATGAAGGGCACGAGTTTCTCCTTAGGGATATGGTGCAACTACGTGGTCTAGTTTCGAACCCCCCGACACTGCTTAACGCGCAAACGAGAGGCCCCTCAAGTGCACCGAACACCCAATACATGAGCCCCGACAGGATCAAGCCACATTGGAAACATACTTTTCGAGGGTCCAAGTGCAAGGAGGGGAGGGAGTGCACTCGAGGAGTGCGCTCCCGCTGGTCCAACTGCGGCGTTTGCCCGCAGCTCGCAGGTCATGAGCACCTAAAACAACTTCACTCCCTATTCCTCCCTCCTCTCTCCTTCCCCATCGTCATTCTTATCATCCTCGAGTCCCTTCTTCCTCATCCTCAACTCCTCAACCCTCTTCTCCTCAACCCTTCGTCCTCCCTCCCCTCGAGATCGTCCTCCTCCTTTCGTCCTCCCTCGTCTCTTATGTGTATATATATATATATCCCATCACATCATCATTATACGTTTCAATTCCAAGTGTCCTGCCGCCGTCCACGCCAAACAAGAGGTACACTTACATTGCATAGAGGGACTCTAGATTCTTGTGGTAGGACAGCTTCTAAGTGCCGCTGGAAGTTGCCGTCGTTCGTGTGCGAGTGGTACCCGATCTTCCCTAGGAGATGCCCAGCTGCGCCTGCCTCTCTAGCTAGTTTGCATATGGTGCATATATCTTTTCCACTCAGTTTCCCAAGTGCGTACTTGCCAAGTAGAAATTGTGCGAGATCATCCCCCTTTTTTTCCTCGGCAGCTGATCTCCCTACTTCGGAACGTTCCCAACTAGAAGTGCTGACTCCACATGACTCCCAGCTGCGTTGCCGTACTGGACGTGGGGGGGAGAGATCTCGGCGCTGGCGTTTTCGTTCGATTGTCGGTGGCTTGGCCATGGCCCGAACTGCTTGAGCCGTACACAGCTCCCACTCGCACGCTCGAATTTTGATGTCATGTGCTGCTCCACTGATTTGGGCTGCTGCGTTTTTTGGATATTTGAGCCCAGCTGGGCTCTCTGGAGGGTCGCAGCAGGATCACTGCAGGATCACCGCAGAATCACCGGAGGATCACCGCAGGATCACCGGTAGATCACCGCTCGATTTGTGAGGATGTCTGCAGCGAAATCGCTGGATCACCGCAGGATCACCGCAGGATCACCGCAGAATCACTGCAGAATCACCGCAGCTGGTTTGGGGGTTCAGTGGGGGAAATCTGATGACCTGAGGCGCGCCTAGGGCTCGAGAGTGCACCGATCGCCACCTTCTCTCTCTGTTTTTCGATCTCGTCGAGTGTTTTAGTGTAGGTGTACCCCTGGAATCCCAGTCGAGCTGCAACGTCCCCAGGTCAGCTGTCCAGAAACCCCGTTCGTCCAGGTGCATTTGCACCTGCCCATCGTCGTGCATGCGCATCTGCATGCGCGCTCAGTCCGAATCATCGTCGCCCGCGCCCAGCGAGTGCATCTGGCGCAGCTTGTTCACCATGGTCCTGAGCTTCTCGAGCTGCGCCATGATCGCCGTGCACGCCGCGTAGCGCTCCTCGCTGCTGAAGCCGTCCTGGTAGTCGACGCCGTGCACCATGATCGCGCTGAAAACGCTGTTGTCCGAGTTGAGGTTCTCGACCTTCTCCAGCTGCTTCTGGATCTTCGGCACGAAGCCCTTCACGGTAGCCCAATTCGGGTCGGTGGAGGCGATCTTGATGACGGACCTAGGTGTGACCACCCACGCCATCACCGATCGAGAGGGATGCGATTTCGGATACGAGGATGAGGGAGATCAGGAGGAGGATCGAGGAGGGAGGGGGAGTGAGTTAAGGAGGGAGGGAGGGGCTCGAGGGAGGAGGTAGGATCGGGGAGAGCTTCCGAACACGGCCAAGCGGTCCCCTGGGTACATTCCCCCTCCTCGCTCCTCCATCCTCCATCCCCTCCTCCTCCATCCCCTCCTCCTCCTTCCCCTCCTCCTCCTCTTCCTCATCCTCCTCCCAGGTCCTCCTCATCCTCCTCCCTCGTCCGTCGTCCAACTCCGTCGATCTCCGTGCTGAGCCGTCGACTGCGCGCTCCTGGTGCTAGTCGCGTAGAGGTTGACCGTCTCCTGGATCTTCTTGATCAGGGCCTTTCCCTCTGGTGTTTTTGGCTTCTCGCCCCGCTTGCTGTGCTTGCCTGGTGCAGGTTTCGGCTTCGCCTTGGCCTTCACCCTCGCAGCCTTGTCCTTCTCCTTGTCCTTGTCCGTGTCCTTGATCGGTGTCTCCTCGACCGCTTGCATGCCGCGTGCCGCAGGCGTCTCGACAGATCCATCTCCATCGGCAGGTGCGGCCACGGCAGGTGCGGAGCCTTCGTCAGCCGATCCCGATGACGTCCCCGTTCTGGCCTTCTTGAAGTTGGACTCCGTCGTGATGTTCTGGTAGTTCTTGCGCTTGTCGAGCACGGTCTTCTTCACCCGCCTGCAGAACTCGATTCTCGATGAGTCTGGGTTGATCGAAACGAACGGCGGTCCCTTGCGTATCATTGTCATCGCTATGTTGAGCGCTCCCTGCACAGCACTCGGCCTGTCGAATCCTCCCTGATCTATGATCAGCTGGTCGAGGTTCATCGGCTTGCCGATCAGCTGCTCGGACTCCACGTGCTCCTCGATCATCTTCCTCGTCTTCTCAATCGACTCGAACCGCTCCTTGGCCCAGTCCTGGCGCTTGGCCTGCTTGAAAGTCGAGGAGGCCTGCTCGTGCTGCTTCTGCGCCTCCTGCGTCCAGTGCTTCTTCATCCAGCGCTCGAACCTGCTGCCGAGGGCGGTCCTCTTGTTGAACATGAAGCCCGTCGCGCGAGCTTCGTCGAGGAGGTCCCACAACTTCTTGTCGTCGCCTGTGAGCCCGACCTCCTTCGCCTCTTGATCTGCATCATCGTGCTCCACTCCTTTTCCAGCCCTGCTCCTTGAACATCTGCATGAGCTGCTGCTCGTAGTCGACCGACTTGATGTACTCCTTCTTGCCGAGGTTCGCCAGCTCCCTGCTCATCATGTTCTGCAAGAGTTGCGAAGCCTCTTGGCGTGGATCCGCTTCAGCTCCAAGATCGAACGACGTAGCGCCCTCTGACATCATGTCTCCAGTTTCAGTTGGAGTTGGCTCATCATCAGAAGCAGGGTCACCGCCTTCGGATCCATCTTCATCACCTTGGCCATGCTCATCGCCTTGGTCATGCCCAGCAGGGGGGGACTCGCCAACCTGGATCTCCTGCTTGACGCTCGGCCCCTTGACGCCCGACTCGACCTCGTCGACCCGTTCCTCCCTATCCTCCTCCTCCTCATCCTCTTCCTCCTCCTATTCCTCCTCCTCCTCCTCCTCCTCCTCCTCCTCCTCCTCCTCCTCCTCCTCCTCCTCCCTTGTCCCCCCCCTCCTCCCCCACCTCATCTCTCCCCCCCAGGAGGGGGGGGGGGGCGGGCAAGGGGTCGGGGGCGTATGCGCACCCCCACCTGCGCCGCTGCAGAAGGTTCCGAGCGAAGCTCGTCCGTCATGCTGCATGCGACGTCCTGCTGCATTTGAATGCATACGAATGCATTTGAATGCATGCGACATATCTGCACGTGGGCATGTATACATGCCCACGTGCAGATATGTAGAGACATGTGAGCATGCGAAGTCGCATAGCACAACACACTCGATCAGGGGGGGGCGGTCGTCAACGAACGAGGAGGAGGACGATGATGATGATGATGATGATGAAGCGCCTTGAAAGGTCGGTTCTCCCAAAACACAAACCTGAGAAGCCACCAATACGCCAAATGCGCACGGTAGAGAAAGAGTGAAACGGGAGGAGAGGCGGGAGAGGAAGGAAGCGGGGAAAGGTGAAGCCCTGCCCAGGATTGAAACCCATGATACTGAAAGAAGTCATGAATGACAGACTGTCCAATATCCCAAATGAATCCCACCACAAGGTCTCTCTTGCGTTGAATGAAGATGGGAAAAATGAGAAATGTAATGCTAGATAATGAAGGATGCCCAAATTGATTAACAATATCTTGAGTAACTCTTGGAGCCGACCTTGAGGGCATAAGGTCCCTAAGTCTAAAGTAAGTAAGAAGTGAAGAAGACTTCCATTGAGTCCCATGAAACCCATTGAACATAAGTAACAGCCAAGAAGTATATGTACTGAAAGAGAATCTGAAAAATAAACTAAATGTCCCAAGCACGCAATGAGACCAGAAGATACGGAGGCATACAAGATGAACTGTCATAGCAGAGTGAGATCCCAACCTTGAAAACCCACACCATGCATGTCACGAAATATGGAATATGGTTGAATTCAAACAGGTATGGAAAACGCAAGATGGCTGGGGGTGTTTATAACCTTTTGTATTTTGCCAACCAACAACGTTGAAGCACATGCAAGAAAGATTGAGAGAGACTGAGTCCTCCAAAAGCCGCAGGCCCATGCACCGCAGACACCAGGAGATTCGGTCTGAAGGAGTCCCAAGGATGGCCTTCACGGATACTTCCAACGCCACTTTTCCACGAAGAAGTCTCCGTCCCACCAGTAGTCAGACAGGTACCATACAACAGGGTGAGGCCAGCCCGATTCGGGGTCGAACCACGTGTCATAGTACTCCGTATACCAGACTTTGGTGTAAACTTTGTCCTCCTCACAGTAGTTCCACATTCCTCCCGAGCCGTGGGTCCACTTGAGACGCTTCTTGGCGGCGAGCTTGACTGGGAGGCTGCGTTTGGTCATCTCCTGGAGTAGGATGTTTCCCAGCCGTCTCGGACAAGGGTTCCCGTCAGGATTTGAGGCGAAACGGCTACTGACCAGCAACCAGTTCTTTCCAAGGAACTCTCCGAACCCTTTCATCTGGACCCCGAACGTTGACATGCAGTCCATTATAGCCGCTGTCCCGACAAGCTTTGAAAAGCGGGATTTTGCACCAGTCATATGTGAAATGAGGACCACCAAGGTCCGACGGTATAAGAAACCGAGCCGGTAACTTGACCACCCTTTGGAATAACAGCGTAGAGCAGTATGAGAGTGCCTCAAGATCTTGTTTAGACAGGAAGCAGACTTTGCGTTTAGACCTGCAAAGCTTCCCCTGAAAGATAACGTGAGGGCCCGAATCCGTGGGAGGTAGCATATCGAAAGCTCGAGCCCGAGACTGCAGGAGCCGACAGGAGGCCAGGGGAGGGAGGGGGCCCATCCCCCCAGACCCCAAGAGAGGAAAACAGACACCGAGTCCCAAAACACCGAGGCACCTGAGGAAGAAGGGATTGTTGCGAAGCCACGGTATCCCTAAGATCGCATGGATCGGGCGGGTCCCAGATAGAATCGCACAAGCGACATCTCCTGGTGTCAGCCAATCCACTAGGTGGTAGGCGAGGAAGAGAGAGGAGATCTCAAAGAGGTCTCGATTCAGACCCAAATGCAAATTCCGAGGGGCGTCAAATGCCCCAGCTCCATTAATATTGGAGCCTGTTCTCTGAGGCCGCAATTAGGTAAGATACCCAGACCTCTGAAGATTCCGTAACATTAAATTTGTGCACTTGCATTCCGTGAAACATTGCCACGGCAAACTTTCGGGTGCGGGGTGCACATGGGCCGCGAAAAAGGCGACGGTCTTTCCCAGTCCTAGCAAAAGACCCATGTTGATCAGCAAACGTCAAAATAGACCGAATGGAGCAGATGATGGGAGAAATCCCCTGAATTATGTTCCAGAACCGATCTGGGTCAACATACCCCGCTCCCAACCCAAGCTCCATCAAATCTCCAATAAGCTCTAGCCAACGAGAAGTGTCGGGTTCCCTGTTCCACCGCTCTCGGACCATCCTCTGTATATCGGTGACGTGACCAGCGACTGAGCGAAGCTCCTCCATGGACTTGGACGAGGCCCTGGTAGGTTGACGTCTTTGAAGGTACCTGGCCATTTGACCCCAAATATTCCACCATACTGTGTAAATGAAATTCCCAGGGTCTGACCAGCGATTGTCGTAGAACACTGCGCCCTTGTATGACATTGTCTTGATCTGTACAAAAGACATAGAGCGCACTGCAATTCCCACGATCCCAATAAGGTTCTTGCATGCCTCACTTGAGAAAAATTCCTCAAAGAGATTCCATAGCTGCCTGAGAGGTATCTCGAACTCGCGCCCTTTCTCATACATGTGGAGTGTGACGCATTTCCGTGGGTTGTATGAACCTGAGTTTACAGGAACAATCTCGGAACTTTCGATTGCCAGTGCATGTGGGCAGACGGATGCCCACGCCTCGAAGACGCAACACTGGAGGGACTTTGAATTCCATGGCCTGACGACCCTCTGAGGGGCAAGCATGAGAGTGTGTTCCCAAATAACTTGAGAAGGGGTTGAAGCAGAACGGGCTAAGCGAATTGAACCAAAATGACTACAGAAAAGCACCAGGACATCAAGACAACCGAAAGATGTGGAACCAAAAGATGGTGAGACAGAGATAAGATGCACTTTATCAGGGATCGGACGGCAGTCATCGTCCTGGCCAGCGAAGTGGGATTAACAATCCCAGGCCAAACCCATTTGTACTGAGGTGAAGAAGCAAACCAAGCACTGAACGACCCCGAGAAGAAACTTGCCACTTCGAAGCCTTGGGCAAAGATTGAGAAACAATCCCAGTTAGCCTCGTCAACCGAATTGAGAGTAACAGGATGCAGTCCCAGCTCGTGAGAAATGACCTGAAGGCCTGATGCAATGAGGCACTTGGGAGGAGGAGGATGAGGAGGATGAGGAGGAGGACAAGACGGAGGGAGGAGGAGGAGGAGGAGGAGGAGGAGGGAGCAGGAGGAGGAGGAGGGAGGAGGAGGAGGAGGTCGAGGAGGAGGAGGAGGAAGATGCTTTACGTTTATGTGTAAACGGTGTCGCTCCTTCATGGTGTCGGAGGGGCAGTGCTTGCCGATGAGATTCGAGAGGGGCCCCTCGTCGCTGGCGTCGGAGTTCGACGGGGAGTCGGGGGGGCCCGCGAGCACGCGTGTGCACATCGCACCTGCAGGAGGTCGTTCGGGTGGATGTTCGAACATATACGTGCAGCTAGTGCACTCGATCAGAAAATGCCAATCGATGGTAGCAATTACCCTACACCCCGACTCGCCTACCATCCTCCCTGCACCGGCGTGGGTGAAGGGTGGAGGCGGGAGGGGGGAGAAAAGGAATAGTGAGGAGAAAGGGCGTTTCGGAGCTCGACCCCCATCCCTAGCTATAGTATTTCCCTAGTCCCCCCTCCATCTCGAGAGGGAGGCGGAGGGGGGAGAGGGCGGACTGGCCCCTGCGGGGGGGCAGAGGGGGGGGACCTGTACAAAGGACGGGGTGGCCCATGGGGAGATGGGGATGGTGGGTGAGTGGGATGGGCACGATGATGGAGGCCATCTTAGCTTTTTCCTCCTCGGATGGCTAGTCCTCCAGCCAGTGCGGGCCTGGCGCGATCGAGGACGCGAAGGGCCTCGAACTCGCAGGGCTTGCTATCGGACTCGAGACGCCGCGGTTGCACGATGGCGGCGTCGGCGGGACTGGCGTCGAAGGTGCTGGCGTCGCAGCTGCTGGTCTCTTGATGGCAGGTGGCGATGTGGCAGCAGCTGGTCGCTTCTTCGCGATGGTGCCCTCGTGCTTCTTCTCGTACACGTTCTTGGCGGTCACGCAGCCCTCGGTGTCGATGGTGCCTGCCTGGAGCCTCCTCGCCAGGTCGACGATGAAGGCGAACGCTGCGTCCTTGTCACCGCTGAACTGGTCGATGTTCATGTGGAACACCGCCTTGCCCGCTAGCCGAATGCGAGCGTAGTAGACCTTCTCCTTGCCTCGAGGAGCGTCCCAGCGAAAATCTGCTTGGACAACCTTACCGTCGGCCCTGCTGTCCTTGTACGTGTATGACTTCTCCTTCTCGACTGCAGCACCATCTGCAGCACCATCTGCAGCACGATCTGCAGCACCATCTGCAGCGCGATCTGCAGCACCATCTGCAGCACCATCTGCAGATACATGAACATCATCTTGGCCTTGTGCAGGACCGCGTCGATGTTTCCATGCTCCCACCATGAGTTGAGGTACTTCTCGTTCTTCGTCGTTGTACACTGCAATCATCATGTCCGTGCTGCGCGCACCTGGTGGTGGCACGAGCCGTATCGCGTACTCGGGGAGCTCGGTCTGCAGGGCGTCGGGCCTCTTCCTCCACGCGTTCTCGACCCTCGTGTCGTAG